CGTACCTGCATGGATAATTGAAGTAACAACGAAATAATAAAAACACTAAGCAAGATTCCATTCATATTTAAGCATGTACTCAGGTTTCTGCAGAATAAATTTCTGGTTTCGTGATTTATTTTTCGAAATATCAAGCTTTCCACAGAAACAGAGACGATTTGAAGTACGAACCTGAGTGAAAATGCCACGAGTAACCCAGGTAGAAGTATGTCACCGAAACCTATGACACTGTAACCACCCCAAGGGTCCAAGAAGCGTGGTATTTTCAAGAGCATTGGAATGCCATCCTCTCCACTATCACCACCACTGGCTACCTATTGTAACAGAAAAGCCAACAAAATCAAATTGTGAATAATGTCTGACCAACACGACAGTGAAGGCTAAAACTTAAAAGGAATCTTGCATTTGACAGTGTATGTATTACAAGGCACTTACCGCAATCATAACACTAACATTGAACAGCTTCTCAGACACAAACACCCAAAAGATGTCGTACAAGAATGCACAACTGAGAAGCACAGTGCCAACCTGATAGTTCACAAGTCGTCCAGATTGATATCAGTAAAGGCTCAGTATCATAATAATGCTAGCCTACAGAAGCATATGGTGGGCAGGTAATTAATCAAAAGAAATGCTGGACTTCAATAGCATGATACAATAAATTACCAACATAATCAATGTAAAATCAGTAATAAAATGTTATTTAACATCATAAGCAGACTTTGCTAAATAAGTTAGTAATAGGTACTTTTCTTGACCAGTGATGTTAACCTTAAATGTACAATCATACAGTCGGCTAGGTATCTCTACCACTAGGTTGACCCCTAGGGTTAAGTAAGATAATATATCTTATTATTGCATAGAGGAACCATAGGGTGGGATAAGATATATGGCCAGTTAACCATTCACAACTTCTGCAGCAGAGTAAACAAACCTAAATATAGTACCTTGAGATTTGGAATTCGGACAACTTGAAGAACGGTTACTATTAGAGCGATGCCCTGATTAAAACAACAAAATGTATAAATTATTAAATTTTGGGACCCATATGATAAATTCTGCAACAGACTAGGGGATATTTAGATCTGCCTGCCCTGCAATAGTGAGATGTACATACGGACGACATACTAACAACAGATCATGAAATTCTTTGTGTGCTTCACCAATTTTTGTACTTCAATCTAAACTAACAATCATAAATATACATGGTGGCAGTTACTTTTTTGACGAACATAATATGGTCATTCCATTTCATAGACCATTTATTTCAGAGGTTGTAGATTTCAGCCGCTAAGAGCTCTAAAACAATATATCAACAACAAAGATGGCAGACAGTACCTTTCCCCTCACTAACAAACCTTACCCTTGGTCATACAAGTTCTATAACGCTTTATTATGCAGCTAACAATTTTTCTTTAGTAATCATGAAATGAATATAAGAAGTATAAAACAAAAGCTGGTCAGCCAGAGGTCATTCTTTTGAATGGAACTACCCAACTCCTCATACATACTTTTCCCAATAAGCAATGTTATCATCTTGAAGAGCAACTTTATTGAAGTTATTAACATCTGATCCCTATAGGCTCGGATTACGTCTGATGTAATGTCATATACCTTCATTTCACAACCCTCTGAGACTTGCTTTACTATTTCATGACCCAATTACTAAACAACCTTCCCAGGTATTAAAAGCTCGGGTCATGCGCAAACTGGAATCTGTTCTGCGTCTTTACTCTTTAATTTAGCTAGTAGCTAGATGAAGCCCTTCCTTCCTCTTAATAAATAGGGTGACGACCACAACAGAATGAGAAATTATTGGTACTCAGCAAAATAATGCAAACTTATTATTATTATTATTACTATTATCATTATTATATTTACTAGCTAAAGAAGTTTTACGCTGTCATATTTCCTCTAACAATACTAATCAAACTCTACTAATGGCTATGGTTCTCCGAAGCCTTCAATGACCGAAAGAGATCAGCATACAAAGACGAGGAAATAGTGAGGATGCTATACTTACAAGCACATCTTGACCTATCCAGGCAAAGGAGGCATTGCGATAAACAGCCCAAACAACAGCGAAGGCAATGCAGAATGGAGAAACCGCCAAAGTTAGGTATGAGAAAGTTCCCAAAACAGGTATATTAAGATATGAATCACTGGCACTATTGAACCACCTGCACAAATTAGTTTGATAATAATTATAAACCATGCTATATAAGAAGTAAGAACTTATTGACAACCATGGAAAGTCAGAGCTCTAAAACAATCCATATCATCTTAAACCAATTGACAGAAAGATACTCTTCGATAACTATTAAAAAGGGGAAAGGAAAATGCTTGATATTGCATGAATCAATTAAGCTAATGATCATCACAATTTCACAGTTACAATTTCACAAGCTTTTAATTAGCTAATCCCACTCGTCAACGAAAAGTAGCTTACATGAATTCACAACATAGTATGTATCTGAAAATAACATGCATGATAATGTCGTACCTTGACAAGAAAGCAACCAAGCAAGTTAGCAGACCCTGCAAGCACATTGAGCCACAGTTAATGAGAGATTCAAAAAAGAAGAAAGTAGCTTAAAGAAAATTCATACCCGACAGATGTATATATATCAACGGTGTACAAGAACTGGAACTTAGATGTCATTGAAATAAAGAAAAAAAGGCAAACAAGTATGTCAGCGAAAACAAATGGGGGAAAACCGTACCTCAACCCCACCTATGCAGAAGAGAATCACCAAAAGCTCAACGAACCAGTACGACATGAACTTATAAAGCAAGACCAAGAAGCAGGAAGCAACGACCACAAACAGCACAGCGGAGGTTGTACTAATGTCCACAATACTGCTGGCACCAGATTTTGTATCAGAAATTTCTTCCACAGCACGCTACAAGACGATTCATAAAGGAGCGAGTTAGACAAAAATGAAGCCCAGTGCTTGCTGATAGAAAGTGTTAAAAGACCACCCTCAACAGCTTTTCTTCTTCAGCAGCAGATTCTCTGGCACTCCACGCAGACCAATAGGATGCACATAAAACAGTGCCAACAGCCATCAGCCACAGCAAGACTTCAGCTAAATCAAGTAATGGCCTCTCAGGAGAGTACAGCTGGACAGACACTGCAAATGCAAAGAGAAGAGAGTGCACCGAGTTGCTGTATTAGAACTAAATGTTTCCATAAAAAGAGTAGTCCACATGATAAACTGTTACCACCTACAAAATCAAGATCAGGTCATGATAAACGAGTACATATTCGAAGGAAAAGGTTTACCTGACGAATTGCCCGATAGCAGTTTTTCCAAGAACACACCAGCATCCTTAGGGACCATAACAGCAGGTATGCGTATATCTAGATCAGTTTCATCTGGTCCACAGACCATCTCATAGAGCTCTGACAAAAAGAGAAAAGGGGGGTGGGAGCTTCAGACAAACAAAACTGAGGATATTAACTGTAGAGCACAACTCGCATCCTCTAATTTGTAACACCTACATGATGAAAAGCATTGACAACATGCATCACATAAACTGTTGTAGATGAACACTCACCATTCTCGTCATTTATTATAATAACAGCAGAAGCCCCTGCTGCCTGTGCATTAACAGCTTTAGTAATGAACGTGCAATTGCCACGATCAACCGCAACAACATCTCCTGCAAGCTAACAGCACATGGAGATATTGGCCTTGTGGATGATTGATAAAGGCGCACTGGCAATACCATTTAAGAGAAAGATTTCTCAAGATAGATTTAATATAGAACCTGATTCTTGGGTAGTGTACAACAATTTCGGGGATCTGAAAGAGTGAGATGAGTCTTCTTAGCCTTTTCCTTCTCTGGCCCAACAGTAGTGCCAAATCTGGCGCCAACACCAGCAAATTCAGCACCCTCTTGTCCGTTTACAAAAGTTTGGACTTTAACCTAACACAAAGAAATCACAAGATCAACCGTTGGCCCCCTCAAAGAAGCTCCAAACCCAATGACTCAATTTCTGCCAGTAATTACTCCACCGATCGGAAAGAATATGGAACCCCATAAAGTAAGCAAATTTGATGAAACCTAAACCTGGTAGCCTATCAATGTTCTGAGTTACACCTGATTATCTCGAAGAACTGAATAACTGAAGACTACATAATAATATTCATTAGTTCACCAAATAGAACTGCAAACTAAATGAATTTCAGAAGTCATACAATCAGACACAGAAATGCAACCTGGAACAACCAATGTCAAAGTTAAAATCTTCATCTAACTCCCATCACGAGTTAACCGACCCACGAACGAAAAGTTCAAGCAATCGACAGTTGAAGCAAACAAACCCTAGTGAAGGAATCAAAGAAAGAAGAACTACCAAATAGAGACAATGAAGCATTACGAATTGATCAACTAAGCTTGCTACAAATTTAACTTACCAGGGTAAAGACATTGTCACAGCCGGGCTTCTTTGGAGCTGAATCATCATCATGAACTACATCCCCTGCCGAGATAAGAAGCGGGAAAGAGAAGAGGCAAATCAGAGCTGCAAGACAGAGTAATGAGCTCAGCTTCTTCTGCAAATCCATGGAGTCCTTCTTCCTTCCTTCTACGTGCTCAGCCTCTGCATCACAATTTCTCAGCGAAGAGAAGACTGTCGGAATAGAGAAACTAACCGAGACGGTTAGACAAAACGAATGGCTTTAGTTGGGCCCTACGGAATTATGGGCTTTGTTCGACGGTGCGAGAGGCCCGGGTTTGTTTCCTTAGGCCTAAAGATAAGAATTAGAATTTGAAAGAACCTTCGATTCATTCTCGCCACCGGCAACCCATCACCGGCTCTCTTCCTTCGTCACCGATCATTCCCCCCAAGCTCGGATTTTAATTCCACTCCGGTGAGTCTCCAATTTTCCTACCCCTATTTGTATGTTGTAAGGGTCTGCAATTATATACTCATTTGAAGAGCAAAGCTGATAATTTCTTCATTGTTTGCTCTTTGCTTGCACAGGAAATATTTTTTAGAAAGGTACAATCTTGTGGTCTTCCCCTGTGCCGCCATGATAGTGCAATCTTCTATGGCTTCATGTACGAAGCACATTGTCCGCCTGAGAGGGCGAACCCAACACATGGGCTCAAATGTCCTGGAAATTGTTTCCAAAGGACAACCCAGTTCCTGTTCTCTGTGTTTCACTAGAAAGCGGAGTAATCATCAACAATCACTGACTGTTAAGAGTTGGGTTAGTGCTAGAAGTTCTACCAGGAGATATTTGAATATCTCATTGCCATGCCAAAATGTGAATATGGGCCTATCAATGTCAAGACAAGGAATCAAGGGTAACATGGGGACTTTATCATGGTCACAACAAGGGTGTACATCTAGTGGCTGCTTAGTCTTTGGTCTCTTCGTTTGTTGTTGCTCAAATTCCGAGCCCACGACCCATGCTCAAGCACCAATGGAAGAAGGACCGTGTTTTAAAACCACCTCCAATGGAAGGAAAGTATATACTGACTATTCAATTACTGGTAATGCTCTACATGGACTTGGCGATATTCATGTAATTTGTTGCAGCACTAATTGAACTTCACTTCAACTATCTTATGGTTAATGTTAGGAGTGTCGTTCTCAATCATGTGCAGGAATACCTGGAGATGGAAGATGTTTGTTCCGCTCTGTGGCTCATGGGGCTTGCGTACGAGCTGGAAAATCGCCCCCGAGTGAAAGCCTTCAGAGAGAATTAGCAGATGACTTGCGTGATAGAGTGAGTTTCTCTCTTGGAAACCCCAAATTGGATTACCTAACTAAGCAAGAACATCCCTGTATCTGTACAATATATGTTTTCATTGCTCATCACACTATGTAGACTTAAGACTTGATATCTCAATTTGCTGACTTTGTATTGCGATGCAAGTCCCGAACAATGATTCATTACTTTCAAACATTTCCTGTCAGTTTTGCTCCTTGTAGCATTGCACCCTCTGATCTACTCTTATGTGGTAAAATTTGTCAGATTGCGGATGAATTTATCAAGCGAAGACAAGAGACGGAATGGTGAGAAGTTGACAATTTTACCTAGTTATGGCTGCTTGATACTCCGACTATTTTTCATTGTAGAATTATTTGACAGAAGTCAGAATTAAGATTGCTCTTTTGACTTGGATGAAGATGTCTATTTGCAAATACTACATGTTCTTGAAGTTTACTTCCTCTACCACCAAATATGTACGACCTAGTGTCGTTAAGTTCTTCAGTTTTAAAGCTGATTGTATTTGCATGTCGTAATACTTGTTTGTTTACCTGAAGAATCAACAGAACCTATACAAATATCATTATCTCTGTGTTGTTGCAAGGCTCTATTCAAACAACTTCATCGTCTCTGTCAGGTTTGTAGAAGGCGATTTTGACACTTATGTGAAACAAATAAGGAAGCCACATGTATGGGGAGGCGAGCCAGAACTGTTTATGGCGTCCCATGTTCTAAAGTAAGTCTCTATTTTATGCTAAAAGATCAGATATCGTCTATCTGATGCATGTATGTGTAGTGAGCACCTGCAGTTGTGTCCAGTGCATCGTGTTCATTTGGTGTTGGAATTGAGCAAGTGGATGTGGAATATCTGGAGGTGCAGATGAGAGAAACTGCCGAAATTTGCAGGGTTATCTTGCCGAAATTCAACTCAAGCGTTGTAGATATAATAAACGAGTGACTGAAACTGCGGATTGGATCTTGAATGATATATCATCTAGTAAGCAAGGAGTGAGAAAGGAAGGAGCTTATTGATGCTTGTGAGCTAGCTCCATGTTAACTCACAAGCTAGCTTTATGTAGTCACAAGCTTTGTTTGATCTTTGAGTAATTTTTTATTTATTATAATGGTGATCTTTGAGTAATTTCTGATCAAGACAAACTGAAGATGGAACTTGTTGAAGCTGGAGTGCTGTTGACTTAATGTTTGCAGCCTTTAGATTGTCGGTTGTGCTGATTTTGTTACTGTCATTACGAAATTGATTAGAATGATTAAATTTGATGCCTTCTACTACTGACTTTGCTGGTGAAAACTGCACACAGGATGCCCATCAGCGTGTATATGTACGATGCGGATGCCGGTGGACTAATCTCGATTGCAGAATATGGTCAGGAATATGGCAAGGACAACCCAATTAGGGTTCTTTACCATGGTTCTGGTCACTATGATGCATTACAAATTCCTGGAAGGAAGCATGGTAAATCTAGACTGTAGCTAGTGTTTTACGAGTAAATGCTAAAAGAAAGAAATTGCCACTATCTCCTTTCTTTATACGGTGTATTTGGTGGTAAAAGCAATAATGTATTGGGAGATTGTATCAACCGATTGTAAAAGTATCAAAATCATTCCTTTCACAGTTTAGACATGAACAAGCACAATTGGATTCATTCACCATTTTCAATTTCCTCTGTAGTTACTGATACATAAGATGTCTGCAAAATAATCATCTAGATAAAACCTTTCAGGCTCCATGTTATGTAGGAAAGAAGATTCCAAGTGAAGAGAATTGAGCGTCTGACCTTCACTTTTTGCCTGTGAATTTATTCACTGCTCCATAATACCATAAACTCTACTTTTGGAACTGGAAACCATCTTGAAATGCCATGCTTCTCCCATGGATGTTGTTGGGAATGTGCTGCCCTGGCATGGTGGAGTAGCTCCCACCTGAAAACCTTATTCCTCCCTCAGCCATCCTCAAACCGACACCATGGTTGGTTTCCCGAGGCAGACCTCCCAATCCCAGTTGACTCTGGATGGTTAAGTGACCATTCACAGACTGATGAAGTCCAACTGGAAACCCACTTCCAACACCTGGAGATGACATGCAGTTGTCTCTAAAGTAGCTCAGGTCCCTCGAACCCAATGGTGTGAAACTTCTGGTGCTGCTGCTTTCTTCTGGCTGAAGCAACCTCTGGAAGTATCCAAGGTAGCTTCCTTGAACCCTAGTTTGAACATTGCTGTTGAATGAAAGTGCAGCGTCAAGCCAACGGTTTTCACTTGCATCATGGGATTTGTTATTGACTGAAGGCAAAGTTAAGTACGTCGAAGAAGTTGCTTGTCCAGATGGATTATTGTAAGTAAAACTTAGCGGTTCAAATTCCAACCTTCCAGCTTTGTCCTTCACACTGGATGGCAGTGAAAGAATGGCTTGGCTGCAGTTAACTTGTTTGTCTTCAGCAACCCTTTTCCCCTTTCTAGACCTCCTTGAGGCTTCACCAGCTGAATGGTTAGCACTTATCCCCAATACAATCTTTGGCTGCTTCTCTGGGATAGAATCTGGTTTGGCAAATAATCCAAAACCTTCTTCTCTGCCTTCCTCTTCAGTTGAGCTCACTGGCACAATTGCCATGCTGTAATCATTTGGATTCTCGGCTGGCAAGTTGCAGTAGTTGTAAGCATCAGAAGGCCTCTTGTTCTTATCTGATCTTTGTGGTGTTACAACTCCACAGCTCTGATCTATTTTAAAAGGCCAGAAATGATTCTGCTGTTGCTGTTGAATGTTCGCCTGCAGAGTCCTTTGATTCTGCATTCTAGTGTTATCCTCGGAACTTGGCAGGTGCTTCTGCTGCTGAGGCTGAAAATCAGTTTGGTGCTGAAACTGCTTGCTCAGCAGAAGGGTCTGGTACTGTGATTGAGTGCTTGCCTCGAGAGAACCGTTTTGCTGTGGTAACTGAGAGCTCTTGCTTTGCCTCCTATCGAGCTCCAAAGCAACCTCCTCAGCAATTACTTTCTGCAGTTCTTCCTTCAACCATGTCAGCAGGTTGCCTCTTGTCGCCTTCATATCGTCCAACAATGAGCTCATATAATTCTTCAGCTCATTCAGCAAAACTTGCTCAGTAGCAGCATTACCATTACCATTATCATTACTCTTCTTCCTCTGCTGGTTGCCCCTTTTAGCAGGCACCGCTCTCATCTTCCTTTTGTTCTTAGCCGCATCATCTTTCGTTTTAATACTACTAGTAGCTCTCCTCCTGCTGCCCTTTTTCTGGATCTCGTTGACATCATTAGCTTCACCATCATCATCCTGGTCATTGTTATCATTAGCAGGACCTAGAGTTGAAGCCCGTTTAGGCTGCTTTAGAGATGGCTCATCATCACTTGAGCTCGACTCATTGCTTGAGGTATCAAGCTCGTTGTCATCCTTCCTCCTAAATGTCCATCGGTGTTGGAACTTCTCTTCTTGTTCCTCTCCAATTGCTAAGGTCGACGGCATTCTTTTATGGGAAAACCCAGTATTGTTTCTCTCTCAACAATGGTTAGCAGCTAATCAGCCTGCAGTCAGAGGAACTACTGACATGATCCAGGATTACATTTAGTCTAGATAACCAAATTGCAGGTCAAACCCTTCAGAGAGAGGCTGTTGGAGGCTAAGGAAGGTAAATCATAGGACAATACAGAATCAAATGGCAACTATAACAAGCCCTTGGGCATGTTCAGAGAAGTACCAGTTACAAGTACACTTGAAGCAAATTACAAGTACAACTTCCTTCTAGAATGCCATGTTGCTAAAGAATGTAAAAAAGAGATGGACAGATTACTTGAGTCAAACATTTAGGGGAAAGCAACATCACTTAACAGCCCCAGGAGACCCTATTTCTGAAAGTAAACTGAAAAGCATTCTGCTTCTGAAATTCAAAACTCTCATTTCGTAGGAGAAAGATGAGAAATTTCCTAAGAGCTTCACTGTCCTAAAGGAGAGATTCAAAGAAGAAAAGGGCAAGGCATTCCTGATTCTGAATCTCCAATAGCTGTTCAAATCAGATGACAAAGCCAGACAAATTTTGACATAAACGAAAAAGTGCAGAACCTTGCTCAATGATCACGCCACAAAAGACCCTAAAGGCTAAAGACTTACCCTTTCACAAGCATTTCAATCACAATCAGTAAACCGAGAAACCAAAATGAGCACAAAAAGGACTGATGAAATGAACTTTGCTTTGTTAGCAGAGATGAAAAAGGAGGAGAAACTGACCCTGAAACCAATAATGCCTGATGCCCTTTTGCTGAACCAGGACGCCTTTGGTTTTTAATTTTTACCTCTTCTTGCGCCACCACCAATCAGAAGTGCATTTCTTTCTTCACCCACCAGAACTGAAGCTTTTTTCTGGCAATTTATGCCTTCTGTTTTCTGGTCAGGGTCAAAAAAGGAAGAAAATCATGCGTTATTTTGTTGACCCACTCTCTCCACAGGTTGTATCACAATCTGTACAACGACCCAGTTGCCATTTACAGAGATCAGGACAATTAAGTTGGGATGGTTGGCAAAGTGACAGTGAAATAGGGGAGAAAAGTAACCGAGAAACCCAGATTAAAGATTAAATATTATACCTTTTTTTTTGCTCCATGCTATTGATTACTTGTATTTGTAGCATTCAAGTTCCAAGCCCTATTAGCTATTCCGTGTGTAAAATGTGATTTCCTGCCATTGGAGTTTTCGGGAATGCCTGCAGCTTGTTATGGACCTTCTTTAAAGACTCATTTGCAAGCAAACGGCCCCTTAATCTCATGATACTGAGAGAACAACGTTTCTGCTTGCTTTCTCAGAAATAGCTCACTTTTTGGAAGGAAATCAAACTTGGGAAGGAATTTAATGATAGGCATTGAACAAGAAAGGTAAACTATCAGCGGATCAAGCAACATTTCTCTCTCTAATCCTTGGAGATGGTGGCGAATGATGAACTGGCTACCATGGACTTTTTAATACCACAATGAGAAGGGATTTGTTTGGGTAACAGATGAAACTCGTATGCCAAGAAAGGTTGATTGTAACTTGCCTCTTTAATCCTAACCAGGGAAGTGTCTGATCATAACAAGAAGAAAAAATTGCATCCTAAGTTCAGCTGTTAAGTGAACCAGGAAGCTCAAAATGAATCCAATCTTGAATAATGCAGTGAGAAGATTGACCTTGAAAGCAGGTCACCTCGCTTCCTAGCCATAATCAGTAAAAAGCTTTGATCTTTTCATTTTTTCCAGCCAACGCCAGGGTTCAAGATGGCTCTGAATACACATAGAAACTGTCCCCGTGTGTCAATATCATCTGTCAAGAACTAATTACTCTACATCACACAACATATTTGTCTACAAAACTGTGATCTACATCCTTTCCCACCACGATCTGCTTCCCTACCTTCATATGGCAGCTGTTAGGTTCTGATGGTGCTGAAGGGCATCATAAAACCTGCAGTCAGAAGAAGAAGAAAACGAAGAACGGAGGATGGACAAAGTTAAGCTTTCTAAGATAGTCATTACTGCACAAAAATTCTTTTAATGTTGAAAGAACCCTCACCAAATTTCATTGATATGCATATGCATATGGATCGTTATCATCAGAGTTCAAATCCACCAAATTCTCTTCTGTGTATGATATTCCACATTCAGAGAATTAGAGATTCTGGTTCTGTTTTTATGGGGAGTTTCATTCCTGCAGTGCTGCCTGCTCCATGGCACATGATTCTCAAGCTTCAGGCTTACTTGCACCAGAAGTTTGGTGACGAAGTCAATGGCTTTCCGGAAGCCTGCAAAGCCAAAAACATAGCCAAAGCATAGAATCAACTCGTTAGAGGACTAATACGTGAACATTTGACAAATCGAAGTTAAACCAATTAAGCTAATTGAACCATTTACTACCTCCAGGGAAATTCACTTGTATCAATCCCTGCTTGGTGGAGCTCGTCGACATACTGCAATGCTTCCCGGCACTCCTCCCGATCATCAAAGAATTCGTTCTTGTCTCCTTCTATCTGATTTGTCTCGTGGCCTTTACCCGCAACAACCTGCCGGGTAAGAAATTTTAAGTAGTTCAAACACAAACAGAAGATATACTTGTGAGAAGAATGATTAAAAAAGATCTTAATTAAAAACTTACAACCACATCGCCTTCTTCACCCATAGCAACAGCACAACGCACGGCTACACGTCTAATATCATGTAGAAAAAGACGATGGCCATTTGGGAGAGGAGGGTAATAGTCATTCTCCCCATGTTTCAAATATTCCTGCATTGTCCATCCTACTCCAGCCAGCATGTCATCCAAGATATCCACTGGAAAATAAAAATTAAAAGAACAATACATAAATAGATAAATAACTCGCATGAGCTTTTATACCAGTACATCTATGGCAGCACCCTTTGAGGTTGAATGCACTTACATGGATCTTCGCCTCTCGGATTGTCTGATGTTAGCATAGTTACATCACTTTTATCTGTTGAGATTTTTGTCAACAGTGGCCTTTTGCCTCTTTCACTCTCGCCACAAGATCCAATAACTTCAAACCGAGACAAGTAGGTCAGCAAAAAAAAATATGACTTTATCTTCAAGCAAACTTTAGTAAGGAAATGACAACTCTTAACATGAACTAGCATCCTCTTACATCCAAATCACACAAAGAGTTTTAGCATCCAGTAGCTGTTGCAGGAAAATGAGAAGAACGTTAATATTAGTCACCAGGAAAGGAATCTTACCAGTGATAATTCTCCTAGGCCCAAGCTCCCTCACTGAATCAAGCAATCTAGATAGACCATCTGGAGTACGAGCATAGTCCACAATTACCCCAAACGCCTGCTCCTCATCTATTAGCTCACACCTACCAGGTACTGCATCAATCTCTTCAATACCTCTTACAATATCTTCTAATGGAGCCCCAACAGCAATCCCGACAGCCACAGCAGCTAAGATATTGTAAATGTTGTGCTTCCCAAGTAACCCTGAGGAAATTTCCAATATCCCCTGGGGGGTATTAACCAACACTTGTGTCTCAAACAGCGACAGCTCAAACTTCAAGGGATGAACATCAGCACTCTTATCCTCCATTGCAAAGGTTACAACAGGCACATCTTGATTCCCTAGTGACCTAAAGAAAGGAGCATTTGGGTCATCGATGTTAATGACTTTCCTATGCCTCTCTGGATCAACCATCCTAGAAAAAAGCTTAGCCTTAGCATCCTTATATTCTTCATCAGTTCCTGGGAACTCAGAGTGATCTCTTGTCAAATTGGTAAACACAGCAATATCAAAGTCTACCTCATTGCACCTCCCTAATGCCAACCCATAAGAAGATGCCTCCACCACTACAGCTTCTGTCCCATTATGATACATCTTAGCCATCAAGTTCTGAACCAAGACAGAATCTGGAGATGTGTTTGGAGACTCCAATTTGGTATCGCCATGTAAATAATAAGAAACTGTACTCAACATCCCAGTTCTCAACCCCATTGCTTCATACATCCCTTTAATCAAATGTGCTGTGGTTGTCTTCCCATTTGTCCCGGTTATCCCAATTACAGACATATTTTTGGAGGGATACCGATAAAAGGCAGCAGCTAGAGAAGGCAAAACAGCATTGGTATCTTCAACTATCACCAATGCTTTACACCCTAATGTCTCCTCTATATCAATCTCTTTACTGGCTACAACTGCAACAGCTCCTCTCTTATCAGCTTCACTCAAATACAAATGTCCATCAGTTCTCTTCCCAACACAGCAGACGAACAAATCGCCAGCAGTGACAAGTCTGGAATCATGTTGAATTCCTGTAATCTCTACCTCCAAATTGCCAGAAACTGAGAGAGGAACCACTTTGCTATCATCCAAAAGCTCAGCTAGACTCATCCTGAACTTTGGTTCAACAACATTCACCTTCAATTTTCCAAAACTGTCGAAATCGAGGTCGAAAGACTGGTCCGAAGATAACCCAGTATCGGATTTACCACCGGGTACATCAATTCCCTCTTCAAACCCAGTGGCTTCATCCCCATCTGAGTCAGCATCCACAATTCTAACACCTTGTAATTCATCAATCTCTTCCAAATCCCCCACTTCCTCTGGCTCCAGCTCCTCAATTCCACTAACCACATTTCCGTTTTCCCCTGCTACAGATTCTTTCTTAGGGTTCGGTTTCAACAGCCCCTTCTTAATGAATTCTTCCCTTTTCAGGGCAATAGCTTTATCAATCTCCCCAAACAAGTCGTCCCCAGAGTTCTCGTAATCCAAGGAGTTAGGACTTACAGAAGGGTCTTCAGATTCAGCCAAGGCATCGAGATAATTGGATTGGTGCTTCTTGAAATCCTCCTCCTGGACCTTGCGAGCTCGGTCCGCTTGAATGTGAATCTGCGCGAACTTGTTGATACCGTGGGCGGTGTCCTCCGGTGCTTCGGGTGGGTCGTCGCTGGACGGTGTTGGATAGTACTTGCCGTCGGGTCCAATAGCCCGCGGGCGGTAGTGGGAACGGAAGTGGGTTTTGTAGAGTGATAGAAATGGTTGATGGGGAATGATGGGCTTCCGGGAGAAGTGAGATGGGATGGGAGTGAGAATTGGGAAATGGGTAGAGAAAGTGAACGCCATGGATGGGGAAAGAGCGGGAGAGTTGCAGAGGGAGGAAGGGTTTAAGCGATGGGATGAACAAGGCAAGGCAAGGGGATAAGGGAGGTTTTTCCATCCTGTTTTGTGTATTTTTTTCCCCTAAGCGGATTAGATTAGACGGTTAATTAGTTGGTGTTAATCTATGAGTGGAAACGGCCGGCCAGCCCTAGTTTGACTTCAAGAGGCGGGCTGAACATGGAGTGTTTTCCTTTGTAGTTGCCAAACCGTAACAACTTCTACAACTGTGTAGCAAGGTTGTCAAACCGGTTTATACCAGTGTGCCGGTTTAGCAAGTGGAATGATACGAACGGTGGTATAACCAGTTTGTGCCGGTTCATGCCGGTTTAAAAAAATGTGAAAATAATTAATATTCAATGTATTTAATCATATATAAAACATATTTGTGGACAATTTAGTTACAATCCAACAAATTATTAATAAATTATTATTTTATTAATTAAATTCATTAAAATGATGTCATTTTACTTAGAATGCGTGTGTCGATCATACCGGTGGTGTCATGCCGGTTTTATAACCGGTATAGATTGAACCAGGTTCAACCGGGTGGCATGCCACCGGCATGACAACCATGCTGTGGAGAAACTAATGAGAATGAGAAGCACTACTAGCTAGCTAGAGCCTAGAGTATATTAAAAAGGCTAAAAGGAGATCCAAATCCACGTTGACCTCACCGAAACACCTCAAACTGTCAAACATTAAAAAACCGAAAGGAAAAAAAAAAAAAAAAACCATGGCCCATTCTTCTCCTCCTGTGTTCATCGTTGTTGGACTACTAGTAGCAGCACCACTGATCATATACGTAAGCGGGGCGACTGCTGGAAGACTTCGAGCCGAGGAAGAAGCGGCCGCGGCGCCACAATTCTGCTCCGCCCATCCGGCGCGTGATTCCAACTGGCCGTACTACGTGGGCCAAGTTCTTTCAGCGTTGGAGACAACAACTCCCAACCGTCCGACGCTCTCTTACAACTACGGCTACCCGGCTTACGCTACTGGCAACCCCGGCGGCTCCGCGATTTGTCACACGGCAGACATTGCAGACTGCGAGCAGTGTCTTTCCAACCTCAAGGCACAGCTCGAGCTCTGCAAAAATTATGCCGGCGGAGGACTTGACCGTATTGATTGTAACATGATGTTCTGGGAAATCCCGTGATTTTTCTTTCAAAACACGCTGCGAATAAGGGGTGTGCAACGGTTTGGTCCGGTTTAGACCGGACCAAATTTATGTGAACCATGGTTCATTAGTAAAAGACATCATAGAATCAAGAACCCGATCATCATTGCGCCTGGTCCAAATATCAGTTCGGTCCATCATTTCTTCAGTAATTGTAAAATTCATGTGTATCAATGACCGAACCGCATTATACTCGATCCGGTCCCAAACCGGACCATTGCACACCCCAGTGCGATCGCGTATGCATTTTCCGCAGGCGGGGAATGGGTTTCAGTGAGGTCCATTAATTATTATCCAAGTGTTTAGCCCAACAGCTTTTTATCAGGCCCATACCTCTGTCATTGTAGAGCCAAGTGCATGTGTTTCTTCAGCTATTGAAATCCTCGTCGATTCAACTCTTTTGTGGATTAGTCTCCATTGATGATACCACTTTACCTCTGTGTTATTTTCTTTTGCTTTTTTTTCATATGGAAAATCCAACCTTATGTTACTTGCTCGATCGTAACCTTCTTAAAGACCTCCATAACTGGATCTTGTGAGAAAATGGTTTGAACTATATACTTGGACTTTTTTCCACAACCCGAGTCATTTTGATAGAGTGATAGTCAATAATATAATGCGAGTATCAAAACCTATAACCAATAATAAAGGACCTTGTATCCAAATATCTTGTCAACCTCTTTATATGTAAATTCATGAATTGATTTTTATTTGAGCAACGTAATATGTAAGAAAAAATTATAGTATAAGATTCAGCGTTAGACAACATTTAACACGTCTAGTTGATTTAAGTACAAGGTACGATGTACTTGTGTGAACTTCGAGCTTATAAGTTCGTTTGAAATGACATGTAAGAAAATAGTTAAAATTCTTACATGGATCTCACATCTCTCAACAACTCAAAGTATTATTTGGACCAAACAATTTTCAACAACCTACTATTGATAATTAACTAGAAACATAACCAGCGAAAAAGGTACATATATATACCTACATTATCTAATCTGCAATGTGAAATGTGTCAGCCCTAATTTGAATATTCTTTCGAGGGACCTAACACAAAGTAAACATTGCGTACTATTCTATCATTTCAATTCAACCTTTGCAATGCTTTCAGATCCACCAGTGCCTTTTAGTTGAATATGCGATCGTAACAGGCGAAAACAGGATGGCCGCAGAGAAGAAAGAGCTTTGGTGTACAAATAATGATCATTACTACAAGAATACAGCATCAACAAGCTACCGAAGCTAGTCTTAATTCGCCATGAATTGCATGACTATAATCCAGCCAGGGAAACCGACTACATACGTGGAATATTCAATTGAGTGTCAAAATCAACCCATCTAACTCCCGCCACAGAGACATAAAAAGGTCAAGATGATAATTAAGAAAAGTACGACCACGAGATATGTTGTATAATATTAGCCGACCATGATTCATGATATTATCCACTTTTTTTTTTTGTTGGTAGAAATATTCCAATTTTGATCATGATCTGCTTAAAATGTTGAAATCATACATTTCATATTTATTAGACAAACATTATTTTTCTCATATTTGCATTGTGCTACCATAACTGAGATCGACCAGGGATCGTTTGCTATCCTTATCATGCCTTCTCGAGTTAAAGGCAGTGACCTAATAACTTGTCTCTAAAATATAAAAGACGACCTCATCGATTTGCTTTGAGGGGCGAGGCACATTGCATCCATGTAGTCACTCCAGGCTCGAAGGAATGAAATTCATAAAAAAATTATTACTATTATTATAATAGTATCTAAATTTTTTGTACATGATGTGCATCTTCAAGATAGCAAGACAGAAGTATAACAACATCTAAATTTTTATAACATCACCGTTACAATTTTCATAAATCTCATTCACTTGTGTACGTATAGTGAAAACACACGAGCCTTACCATAAGCAGACAATAAAAAAAACAACATATTTATAAGGGAAGAAAAACATTGTACATTTTAAGAATCCGCAAATGTTCTTGCAGTCAGTTGATAAGAAACGACAAAGCGAGGTATAAAGCACGAATCAAAAAACCCAACCCCAATGATTCAAATGCAACTCATCATCTAATTCATGTACTCTTTGTGTTTCTGTTACAAAAACTAACTAATATGAGGGGTAGACCCACCAGCTTACTTGATCGGCCTCCTCTAACAAACATATACCCACCCATAACCATATGTTTCCTCTTTCCCTTTGTTTGCAAGGAAGGAATGATTGTCCTTCCAAAGGGCTAAAGGCTGAAAGGGGATATCGATTGGAGGGCGATTGGGCAGTGTGCAAAATGGGCAAGTCGTCCAACCAAAGCCTCCAAAGGACTAACTGCATGCCCTACAGATATTATGATATGGGTGACGTGGTGACTAACTAAAAACGTTACCTACCTTACACAATCATCATATCAAATGTCCTCACCACTATCCCCACAAATTCCGATTTGAGCACAAACTACACTATCGTTATTTTTAACACGATTTGAGCACAAACTATCGCTCATATTTTACAAGCCTTGCTGATAATTGAAATTGGCGGGATGATATATACCATGTATCCGTAGAGTTGGATGAGCTCATAATAGATAATACTTTGAGGAGTTTAAGTGTTGTTAAGCGAATCTGGATCATTAAACATATATAAATGGGTTGCAATGAATTATAGAAGTCGTTATATTTAATGACCAATGCTAACTTAAAGATGACCATAACACATACGTGTTATGACGATAATCATTGCACAAAGATCATGCCGACAAGAATCAGTTGGTTTCAATAACTTGAGTTGTTGAGAGAGCTTTAATTATGAATCATATATTACTAACACACCCGCTCAAACGAAATTCACTCAGAATAGGCTTAAGGGTTGCACATGATCGGATACCATGTGCTTAACAGAACGTATGACAGGTCACTAGGATTGGAACAGAAGACCTCTCGATCACAGAAGGCTCTAATACTAAGACAAACTAATTGATCTCAATAACTCAAATTATTGGAAGAGTTTCAATTATAAATCATATACTATTTACTAACACACGCTTGTGTTCAAATCCTTATAGAAGAAAAGATTGTTTAAATTGCTTTTCATAAAGAAAAAACAAAAAAAAGTTGGTCATTTCTGTGTTTGTCAACTTATGTAAAGAGTACATAGAATGATAACAAAATCAAGGGTTAATATTTTCGTATGGCCTGAACTTTGACCAAAGTAAACATCCTGGCCAATCTTTTCGATCTATAACATTCTGGCCCGAACTATACACCAAAGTAAACAATTTGGCCAAATCAGACTTTTGACCGTTAACTTGGACGGTCAAACGCGTTGACCGTTAGTCAACGTGCCATGTCACCGCCAACTCAGCAATAAAAAATTAAAAAAAAAATTTAATTTCCACCTAGCCCATTTAACTTACCGGCGGGCATCCGTCCGGATTTCTCCGGCTGCTGCTGATGCTGCGGTGGATCCATCAATCTCGACTTCGTCTTCTCCTTAAACAAATTCGACTTCCTCTTAAACGACGACCGGCTAGAAAACGAACCAACACCTTCTCGAGAACTGCACCTCAAAACCTCCCCTCCTCCTCCTCCATCGCCACCAGCAGCAGGACTCCCGGCGTTCGATTGAATCCCTGGAGACTCCTTGAACCTGCTCGCCTGCCTCCTCCTAATCGACTCGCTCGACTCAAACGAGACTCGCTGGTGAACCGACACGGGCGACTCGGAAACCGGAGCGAGATGCAGACCGTCGTTGTTGTTGTCGTTCCCGTTCTGAAGCTCCGCCATCTCCAAATCCATATCCAAACAGAACTCCCCCGACGCCTGCTGCTTGTGCAGGAACTGCCCAATGAGCTTCGACATCGGATCCTCCGGAACTCCAGTAGTATAGCCTCTCTGAGCCGGATTGAAATCGAATCTGTAGCTCCCGCTCCCGTCGGCGCCGCCCTCGGGCTGCTTCTCCTTCTTCCTGTCTTTATCCATTCCTTCCAGGAAATCGTAGCTGGATTCTCTCCATATATTCCCGGCCGGAGCAGGAGCGGAGGCGGGAGGAGGAGTCCCTTTGGGTGAAGAACCTCCGCGTTGACCAAATCAGACTTTTGGCTAGGTGAAAATTATTATTTTTTTTAATTTTTTATTGCTGAGTTGGCGGTGACATGGCGCGTTGACTAACGGTCAACGCGTTTGACCGTCCAAGTTAACGGTCAAAAGTCTGATTTGGCCAAATTGTTTACTTTGGTGTATAGTTCGGGCCAGAATGTTATAGATCGAAAAGATTGGCCAGGATGTTTACTTTGGTCAAAGTTCAGGCCATACGAAAATATTAACCCAAAATCAATGTTCAAACTTCTAATTTTTTTGTTTTTTGAAAGGAAAATCAAATTACATAAGAAACCATCTTGGACGATTAAGTATGAAGTTAATTTACTAATTATAGTCTTTGAATCCAAACCCAACAAAGATGATTTTTCTTTGGTGCGCAGCGCGTGTTTGATTTTCATCAACCTTTCTCTTTTGTTAATTCCTGATAATGATTATAGGTTTGTTTTTCTCTGTGTCTCCTTTCTCTTTTTTGTCCCTTCTAATTTCTTTTTTGAACTCTTTGGGTGGAATTCGATGAGATGCGAACCTCTTCTCTTTAGCTTGCAAAGCAACCAAAATAGTGTCTCTCTACTTTGCCTTTATAGGGATTGAAAGATAGGTCGCCTAAAGCACAAGAAATTTAGAGCTCAAACTCATTTAAACCGACCACAAGTACGTGGCAATGGGAGAACTTAAAAAAAAAAAATGATGATTATCATAATTAAGATGTTCCTTCTCGTGATTACTTTCCTGTTAGAATTTTATCATTCGATTTCCAACATCCAGGCATAAAACCAACACAAGCATACGGTTGAAACGTCAAAAATTTGAAAATTCGCAGTAGATTATAACAGGCAAAGAGGCTGTAAGAAATTTGAAAACACTGAAGAATGGAAATCGGAAAGCGATGGACGGCGTTTGGATTCCGAAACGCATTTAATTTGGGCAACAAAAATCCAAAACTCAACGATTGCATGCATACGTAAGGGCCCATGGGCTTTTTCGTCGTAGCTACCCAGTCTGACAGCATAGTCGCGACTCACGGCCACGATAAGCACAAGGTCCAGCCGGCAGCCGGGCATCTCTAACGGCGTCGTATTCATCCCCGATTCCATTCATACTGCCCACCGTCCCGGTTCATGGCGGCCGCGAGCATCATTCTCTCCACCGCCCGACGGCGACACCCGAGTTTCAAGTTTCAACGCCGGAGTGCAACCACATGTACACCTTTTTTTTTTACAATAAAGTACACAACGAGATGTTTCTTTTTGTTTATTTTCGTTTCGTATACGACAGTTACTAATATTTGATTCAATATTTCATGGGTGTTGAATTTTATTATCGAAAAATTAATTTTTTTACATAATGTTCTATGAGTAATACATCAAAATCGGTTACTTAAACTGACTTGCAACGATATTATAAGGTATGTACGATATCAAAGTATCAATTCTACATTCTAATATGCCGGATCAAAAGGACGGGTAAGGTCAACAGAATTTTGAAATCCAGAGAGAAAAGTTGTTAATTTTCATTTTAGGAATCAGGAAAGAGTACAAAATGCTTTGAATGGTGAATTGTGAAAGGGAAGGAATTTAGAAGAATGGAGGGAAATATGAGAAATGGAAAAAAAAGGTATGAGAGGACAAGCAATCCCCCCATTCCTCCCTTTTGTTTTCCCTTTTTCTATTTTAAATGAATAATAATAATTTTAATTAGATCATTGCTTTTCGTTGAATTTCAGAGGGTTTCCCTTGGAGTCACGTATCTGCAATTTGTTCATTTCCCCGGTCAAAATTAATTAATTAATACATTTTATGTATTTATTTTAAAGTTCCTTTGCTTGCTGAGCTTATTAGGCCTCTGGCTGCTGGCTGCTGGCTGCTGGCTGCTGCTTTCATACTATTAAATTTTCCCCCCTTCTTCCCTTCCTTCTCATCCCATCTCAATCTCATCTTCTTCCTTCGCCATTCCTCCCATTCCACCTCTCTCTCTCTCCCTCTTTCCCTCTCTCGGTTTCTTCAAGTCATTTTCCAGCTTAATGGCGGGGTCTTTGATGAAGGGTAACTAGCCATTGAAAGGCGGAGCAAATGGCGGGGCAATATTGAGTACTGACCCGGCAAAGCAAACCCCCTCAATTAATAAAGAAGAAACAATGGAGGAGGGCCGAGGCGTTTTTGTAAGCTCAACAGCCGGTTCTCTCCTGATCATGGCTAGTATCAGCAGCTGAAGGGTCGGGTAACTGCCTTCCCTCCGTTTCTTTGCTTCACTTTCTACCTCTTGAGCTGAGGAAACTGCTGAGAAAGAGATTAAGACTTTGGTTGCGGCAATTCATCAAACACCTTGCGACTCCATCACTCCAAGGTGCTTTCCCCACCTTCCCAGCTGGCTTTGGCATTTGAATTCCGTTCCATGTTGTTGAAATTCTGCTTTGTTCTTTTCGTATACCGATTTTAAGGTAAACTGCTACCACATGGCTTGTAGATAAAAAGAGGTTTTACGTTTGCATAACTTGGCGCCCCCATGTCGAGCAATAATTCGTATGCAATGGAGAGGAGATCATTTCCTAGGAGCCCTTTGCTGAAGAATTCCATGCCCAGTAGTCCCTATCACATGAGCCCTATGCTCAAGAGTCCCATGCCGAAGAGCCCTGCTCGTTGCGAGACCTACAAGTCTAGGTGTGCTCACTGTTTGCTTGGTTTCTTCCGGTTTCGACATAGCAATTCGAAGAAGCTGATTTCGGACAGCAGGAGTGCTAGCAGGCAGTATGGTGGTAAGCATTTCCCTCCTTTTGTCCCGTACTGTTGGAGAATATGGAATGGAGCTGTTATGTCTTTGATTTGACACTTTTCTTGCTCTAATTATGCATACGGTTGTAGATGATCGATCTGCGAGAAATAAACTGGATTGGCACCCTGTCGTTGATGAAAAATGTGAATGCATCAATGTGAGTTCAGGCACCTTTAACACTGTTCTCAGATTGAGTACATCTCCTTTGGATATTGCTCTCATTTGTTCTTTTTGTTTGTTTAGACTCAAGGGGATCCTAGGAACGCTGGACTTAGATCTGGTCATAAAGAGATGCAGAAAATCAAAGGGCAAGATGTAAAATCCGATTCTAAAAGTGTTAGTAGCAGAACAAAGCGCCACAAGAAGCGTAGAAGGGCTCGACGTTTGCCTATATATGGTTGTTACGATGTGGCAACTATGGGATTTGGGAAAACAGTTCCTGAACGGTTGATGGACAGATCATCAAATGAAGAAGAGTCCAGGGTTGCAGTAAATAAGGATCCAAGTGATTCTAGTACTCCTCCAAAGGAAGAGATCAATCTTCAAGTCCATATGAACGAAGCAGCTGAAGCATTTATAAATCAGAGATTTACTGATGGGCGACTCCTTGGTGAAGACGAAGGCAAAGTCCAGTCGAAACATTTCTTGGATGCATTAGGTGTTCTGAACACTAATAAGGATTTATTTGCGAAACTCCTACGAGACCCCAACTCTCTACTGGTGAAACATATAGAAGACTTGAGAGATTCTCGGCAAAAGGTATCGGCCATTGCTAATGAGCCTCTAGAGACAATTGTACTGTTGAAGCCTGATGTAAACAAGTGCGACTCTTCTGTAGATCAGCTTGTTCTAAGTACGGTGCAACAAAGTGCGAGGCCTGCATTCTCTTCCTTCACACAAATGAAAAGGAAGTTGATGAAGGCAATTGGATCACGCAGAAAAGCTCGTCCATTAATACAAGATGACTATCCAGAGAACAAGGGTAAACAAGGGATGGAAGAATGTGACCAAGGATCAGAACTGGAGATTGCTGAAACCAACTTGCTTGAGCAAAGTTCTCCTCGGGAGATCCAAACTAAGAGTAAAGAAAACAGGCTAAGACAGATTGAGACAGCTGTGAGAAAAGAGTCCAGTCCAAGCAGCTGTAATAGGAGCTCAACAGTTGTCCTTCTAAGGAAGGACAGACCCAAAACCTGGGATGGAATATGCTCTATTGACGAGGTTGATTCCTTGCATACAGTTGGTCCTCGAGGAAAGAGGGAGCTTGGCTTTGTCACCCCCCAAATGAGAATCTCACCTTCCAGCAATTCTCAAATAGTACAAGAGAGCAAGTGTAGGAATCAAAGAGGAATAGAAATCAACTGCCCAAGTCCTCTAAGGCAAAGCCTAGAGGCTACGCGTTGGGTGGATGCTAGGGAAAGCTTTGAGATGCTTGAAACAGAATCAGCCAAGCCGGATGGATTCAGTTCTAATGGTGAAGGGAGTGAGGGCTCTTCTGCTTGTGATAACATGCATATTTCATCCCAAGGCAAGCCGTTTTCACTTTAATGCTCACTGTACTACTAGTGTCTGGTTCCATGTACTCAAATTCATATTTTCTGTTACAGCTTGTGCCAGCCCTGAAGGACAAGGTGACATACATTTTGAAGGCATTAGTCCTCCTAGAACGCTTTCTGATGGCAGACATGAATGTGTAGATGCACCAAGACCATTCGATCCCTTGAGACCGGTAATCTCCCTTCTAGCTTGCACGATTTGTCGAAATTGTTCTCTGTATACCTCTTTTTGTTACCCTAGTACTATGCCAAAGAAGTAAGAACTTATCTCATTGAATCCAACTTGCCATGGTATTGTACAGGACTATTTGTTTGAAAGCCAAGTAATGCCATCTTCAGAAGCTGATTATATGTCAAGCCCGCCACAGGCCAGTAGGATTGAAGGTCTGGATATAAAAATTGAGGACAAGCCAGAACATCCTAGTCCAGTTTCTGTTCTTGAGCAATTCTGCACTGAAGATATCACTAGCCCCGTGAGCCAAAAGTCTAATCCTGGTAAGTACTCGAACTAGTATTTGCAAACTGAAATGTCAAATACTCGTTTAGCGTTCAAGAGCTGAATCTTAATGAATTATGTGCAGTTGATCCATCAGACCTGTCAATCCGAACTGTATTTCAAGAAAAATGCTCTGCCACTGTTCAGCACCCAGCTCTGAACTCTGATCCATCTCTGGAAGAGCACAGATCCATGTCAGGACACATTTCCTCCATATTGCATGCTGCGATCTCGAGTTGGGACGAGCTCCTATTGAGGTGTTATTTCTCAGACCCGCTTCTCCTAGAAATTGTACTTGATGAAGTGGATATCTGCTTGTGCAACGATCGAATACTCTTTGAGTACATCAATGAAGTTCTTCTGGAGGCCTACGACCATTGTCTGAGATGCTCTCCTTGGCTTTCATCAACGGAATCAAAGCTTCGGCCAGTTTCAGTAGCCGAGAATGCAACTCGAGAAGTGATGAGATGCATCGACTGGGACCTCTTTCTGCACCATCCCATGGAAACTGTGGAGGAGATCATCGTGAAGGACTTGGTTAATTCGAGGACATGGAAGGACTGCAAAGGTGAAACTGATGACATTGTTAGAGACACAGTAGAAAGTATTATGCAAGACTTGATCATGGAGTCTGCTGAGCTAAGCAACTCGGCCCATTAACACAACAGCAACAAAAAGGTTCGAGAATTTTGCCTTGAATCATGCACACATGGCTCAAATTCGTTATACACTTGTATAGTTTGGATAAGCACCAGTGCACCACCCTCCAAGAGCCACCTTATATAGAGAACTTGTTCAAATGTGTTATTTCTTTCTTCATCTTGGAAGTGACATACCTTGAACATGTTTCTTGTTATACAAGAATATTGAGGGTTTTGTTCATTGCATTTGTTTTTTGTATGTCTGCTCTCTTTGTAATTGTTAGTTGGAGAAATTGTTTAGGATCTATTGGTCTTTTGTTCTGGTGACATACTGGCAATTGGCTATGAAAGCTTTTACATCTGCTGCAGAATTTTAACAGAAAATTTTGGGCTAAAACCACTACAACACTCAAACTATCCGGAAAATGTCACTTGTGTCTTATTTTATTTAAGGCTAAATTGCAAGTTTGGTCACTGGAATTACTAATAAATTTTACGTTAGCCACTGAAATTGCTTTATTCCATCCGTAGTCACTTAGATTAGGTTAACAGTTCAAGTTTGGTCACTGACCGTTAGTCTCCGTTAACTTTTGCTGATGTGGCGGTCAACTCTTATAGTTGACCGTTAAATGAGTGACATGGCAATTAAAAAAAATAAATTTTAATTTTAATAATTTCCACTCATTATTACAATAAATTAAAAAATAATTAAAACAAAAAAAGTTCACAAACAACGGGCAACGGCGGAGGATCGAACAATTCAAACAACAGCAGCGGTGGAATCACCACCATCACCTCCAGATCATTAACCATCCGGCGACAGAGCTAGGATCAGTTCCTCAATCACATGCAATCTCCCTTGTTTTCTCCGATTCCGCAACTGTTTGCATCGCTTGACACTTGACTGTTTCCATACGTCCAAGTCTATATACAATATGAATCAGAACTTCACACATCTCTCTCGCTCTTTCGCCCTCATCCCGATTCCCTCATCTCACCCAAAATTGGAAGCAATCAGCGGCGGCTGGAAAATGGACGGCGCCGGCGGGAGGTATAGATTGAACAATCGGGGTGGCGGCGGCGGTGGGGGCCAGAGGAAGGAGAGAGATAACGACGATCTGATACTGTTCAAGGATTTGAATAGAAGGGAGAAGGATCAGGCAGCAATTCTTCTCCAGCCCATCTCCGATGAGTTCGAGGTTAATGCCGGTGAGAAGCTAGACGATTTCAATCTTCCCTGGTAATGCTTTTATAGTGATATAGATAATCATAAAGATGGTTACTTTTTTAATTTCTGTGTTCAGGGCGGCAGCGGGGTCTCACCATTCGTTCTACCGTATCCCGTAGGCGAAGAAAGACGGATAGCAGGGCTATGAGTTCTTCGGGGGCGGCGGACATGGCAAAAACGATTATGATTGGTATAAATGAAGATTATCTTAGTTAAATTAAGAACCCACTTTGAAAATCATCTTAAGTTCTTGTCCTGATTGAAAAAAATGCGTTCCTTTTGTAATGGTAATGATATATGGAAAAAAGGTTAAAAACGCTGCCGGCAACTCCCCTATTCCCGTCTCTCGAAATGGAAGCCAATCGGTCGGACTTATTGGTCCAACGGGAGATCACCGTCGTACAGCCTCTATCAACCGGTGATTCCGCGGTGCTGTTGCTTGAATTGTTCGATCCTCGGTCGTTGCGGTTGTTTGTGACATTGTTTTTAATTATTTTTTAATTTATTATAATAATGAGGTGGAAATCATTAAAACTTAAATTTTTATTTATTTTTATTTTTTTAATTGCCACGTCACTCATTTAACGGTCAACTATAAGAGTTGACCGCCACATCAGCAAAAGTTAACGGAGACTAACGGCCAGTGACCAAACTTGAACTGTTAACCTAATCTAAGTGACTACGGATGGAATAAAGCAATTTCAGTGGCTAACGTAAAATTTATTAGTAATTCCAGTGACCAAACTTGCAATTTAGCCTTTTATTTAACATGACAATCTTGAAGAGCTCGATTCAACACTGTGAGAGTGAGATTTGCTGCATTATGATTGTAAGCAATGGTGATTAGGAATCAATTAAAATTGTGCCCTAAAAGTAAGAAATCTTCTACAATTTGATTTAATTAATCTCTAAGAATTTTCTGGTCGTAAACAATGTTGTAGTGTTGGTTTTAAATTTGGAAAGAGTTTTTTTTCTTTGATAATCAAATCGGGAAGATGATGAAAGAAAGAGGTTTCTGAATCGGACTCCCGATTTTCCATACAAATCTGGCCAGGCCCAAGAAGAGCAAGCCCACTTACTTCCCACCAAACCCAAAATAAATGTCAGTTTCTGCCAATCCCTAATTCAGTAATTCTCCTCTCCTCCTCCTCTTTAAACCCTTTCTTCCTCCCCAGATTTCTCATCCACTCCCGCCACCCTAAAACCCTAACGAAAGCCCTCCCCTGAAAAAACCCCCTTCCGCCGGAGCCGAACAATGGACCCAAAGGCCGTGAAATCCGACCTCGTCCTAATCCTCGACTACGGCTCCCAGTATACCCACCTCATCACTCGCCGGATTCGCGCTCTCAACACCTTCTCCCTCTGCATTTCCGGCACTTCCACCCTCGACGCCATCACTTCCCTGAACCCCAAGGTCGTTATTCTGTCCGGGGGGCCGCACTCCGTTCACACGGCCGACTCGCCCAGCTTCCCGGATGGGTTTGTTGATTGGGCGCTGGAAAACGGCGTCTTCGTGCTGGGAATCTGCTACGGGCTGCAACTGATTGTGCAGAAGTTGGGAGGGGAAGTGAGGGTTGGGACGGAGCAGGAGTACGGGAAGATGGAGATTGAAGTGGTGGGGAATTCGGGTATTTTTGGGAATAAGAAGGTTGGGGATAAGCAGGTGGTTTGGATGAGTCATGGCGACGAGGCTGCTCGGTTGCCGGAAGGGTTTGAATTGGTTGCCAAGAGCCGGCAAGGGGGAGTTGCTGCTCTTGAAAATCGGGAGAAGAGGTTTTACGGTTTGCAGTATCACCCGGAGGTAAACTCTTAACTCTGGCTTTTGTTTTATGGAATGATAGAGGAGTAAAGTTGCAGGCTTTTGGTATGAAAGAGTGAATATCTTGTATCCGTTTAGGTGACTCATTCGCCGGAGGGGATGGACACGTTACGGCATTTCCTGTTTGATATTTGTGGAGTGGCAGCTGGTTGGAACATGGAAGATGTCTCCGAGGAAGAAATTAGGGCGATTAAAGGAACAGTAGGGCCTGAAGATCATGTGATATGTGCTTTATCTGGTGGTGTTGATTCCACAGTTGCTGCAACACTGGTGCATAAGGCAATCGGTGATAGGCTTCATTGCATTTTTGTTGACAATGGCTTATTGAGGTAGCTAATGGGTTTCTTATAGTGTTGATTACTTGTGTTCTTCTGTTTCTCTATCGTTGTAATTCATCTGTCTCGGGTTCTGTAGGTATAAGGAGAGAGAACGAGTGTTGGAAACTTTTGAGAAGGATCTTCATCTCCCTGTTACTTGTGTTGATGCATCGGAACAGTTTCTTGGTCACTTGAAGGGCGTGACAGATCCCGAGGTGAAAAGGAAGATAATTGGGAGGGAATTCATTAACATCTTTGATGTTTTTGCCCATGATTTGGAGCAAAAGCTAGGAAGGAAACCTGCTTACCTTGTCCAAGGAACTTTATATCCAGATGTCATTGAATCTTGCCCACCTCCCGGCTCCGGAAGAACTCACTCACACACAATCAAGAGTCATCATAATGTTGGAGGACTCCCAAAGGACATGAAATTGAAGCTTATTGAGCCTCTCAAGCTTCTATTTAAAGATGAGGTATGCTGTGGGATTCAAGCATTCTGTTTTCTTGTGTTGTCTTGTCTTAATCTTAAGTGCATTTGGGGCATTAAACTTCTCCATTTTATTCTTAAAGGTCCGTGAGTTAGGGAGGATCTTAGATGTTCCCGTGGGATTCCTGAAGCGTCACCCTTTCCCCGGGCCTGGCCTTGCAGTTAGAGTGTTGGGTGATGTAACTCAGGGCAATGCCTTGGATGTCCTACGCCAGGTCAGTTATATTTATTAATTTAATTATGAACATGAACCTGAAAATTTTGCATGGTTTGATGATCTATTAATGTTTTTAATTAATGGTTCTTTCCTTTGATGTTTTCTCCAGGTGGATGAGATTTTCATCCAGTCTATCAAGGATGCCGGGCTTTATGATACTATTTGGCAAGCTTTTGCAGTATTCCTTCCCGTGAGAACTGTCGGAGTTCAAGGAGATCAAAGAACACACTCTCATGTTGTTGCCCTTAGAGCCGTCACAAGTCAAGATGGAATGACAGCCGATTGGTTAGTTTCTTCTCTTGAATATACTTCCCTAGTTCCTACTTCACTCGAGCATGTGATTGGAATGTAATCGTGAATCACATCCATGTTATACAATTACTAGAATGAAGAATCGAAGGTGTTTGCTAGTTAGATACCTTATGGAGGGTTGCCTTGCTTAGCCATTTATCCCTCTGATATGTGCTGTTGAACAGGTATTACTTTGAGCACAAGTTCCTCGATGATGTTTCCCGCAAGATCTGCAACAGTGTACGTGGAGTAAACCGAGTTGTTCAGGATATTACATCAAAGCCTCCATCAACAATCGAGTGGGAGTGATGCCAACCTCAGGTGTTAATGTTTTGGGGGAGAAACATGACTAGTTGGATCTCGAGGATGTGTAGCGAGTAGTGATTGACTGATGAGTTAATATGGTTACTATATTTATGTCCCCAAAAGGGGTTATTTTGGCTGGGGGCTTTGGCAAGCAAGGAAAGAGTGGGCTGAGACGCTGAGTGAACGATGGTTCACAATGTGCCTGGTTCTTATTTCTGTTGATTGATCCCAGGATTGCAGAGATTTTGTACCCCTCCCTTCTTTTGCTTTGCTTTCCGTTGAGCAGATACACAAAAGGGGAATATAATTTTGTTTCGTGCTTATGATTAGATATTCGTTAAGACTTAAGAGTTTTGAGACGTCATAATTATACCATAACTGCTGCTCTCAACTTGTTACCTTCAATTGCACTAGCATATGTTGCTGTCCCGTCAACTGGTGACATAGAGGGAAGTTTGCCTCATCATTAAGCGGACAAGCTACAAGAATTTCTTCTGGACAGTTTGGTTAAAGATTTACATTGCTAATCAGAAATTCATGGATTGAACCTTCTGTTTTGTTGCATATGGAAATGCATATCAAAGTTTGGGCTCTCCTGTGTTTCTTTCTTTCTCACCGCATTCTTTCCAGGCTGCTTGATAAAGTTCCAATTGGTTCTCCTTTTTTTAATGTTTGCTTTGAAAACTACAGGGAAAAGATGGAAAAGACACAAAGGAGTTGTTAGCCACTTGAAGATTTCCCCGCCTGCGTCGCCTCCCAATCTCCCATTATAAAATCTCAGGCTCAGAATTTGGTGGGCTTTGTATCAGTAAACTCTATGGCATGTGGACCAACAACTTGGAACTTCAATGTCGGAGAATCTTGTAAGCTTTTCTTCACATGCAGAATCTGAAGTTGGCAGAAGAAACCAATAATACTATGCATTTCCATTAGACTTGAACCAGGAAGCCATGGACAGGATGGACAACAAAAACAGGTGCAAAAGAATTGAGTATTTGCTTTTTACTAGCAACTTAAAATCAAGGTTGAGTAGAACTGACCTACCTAGTTAAACACCATCTACAACAAGTAAATCATTAGAGGTTGTCCTTCTTCCCCATAGCAACTCTTTCAAGGGCCCTTTTGATTGCTCCTGCTGACGCTGTTGGTGCTCCACCAGTAACTCCTTTGTGCTGCAATTTCCCCCCCCCCCCCCCCCCACAGAAGGTCATCAGAAAATGTTATTAGGGAAAAAGGTAGCTTTTTTATGCAATTCCCCAAGCCATACACACATTATAATACCTCAGATTCAATGGTTAGGGAAAGAATTCCATCGGTAGTAGATGATTGAACTGAGTGAGAATCTACACGAAGACGGGTTAACTCATCCATGATCAGAAGCAATATCCCTTCTCTCCATGGACAATGGACCTTGATCACAGGCCCTTTCATGTTCATGCTGACACTCACACTATCAACTTTAGATGCAATATTGGACTTGATCTTCGGCCTCATTTCATTGGTCTCAGTTGCTTTCCTCTTGCTCCCAACTTTCCTGGCACTGCCATTTCTTTTGGTGCTCCCATAGTTATCAGATGTTTTCTCTGACGAAATTCTTTGGTTGGTTTTCCTCTCTGTTCTTATTACCTCTGGTTCCATTTGTCGTTGCTGTGTTCCCAGCTGCTCGACTCTACTTTCAAGTTCTTGAAGGTACTTTATCGTCTCATCTAGTATGGATACTCTATCAACCTGCAATCAACTATGAATTTTATTAGAGTGGCAAATTATGATGAAACCGAAGAGTTTTTTATAGTGTTCTAAATCACCTTGTTGACCGAAGGGACCATTGACTTGAGAATCATGAGCCTTTCATCAAGTACTTCTCTCTGTTTCCTTTCTGATAACATTTGATTCATGCTGACTTCATCAGCTTCCGATATCAAATCCCCATCTATAATCCCATTTTCTGGTGAATATCCATAGATGTGCTTCTGTGGGAAATCAAACAGAACCTTCTTCAACATTTTCTGCTGGATCCCACACTTTACATTCTGAGAGTGCTGCTGATGCATGGATCCCGCCTTCTTCCAGCTGAGGAAGCTGGATGCCTGATGAGAGTTCCGGAGATGCGGTCCGAGAATCAGTGGGTGAGAGGTTTTGAGTACTGATGAGAGAACACTCTGATAATGAAAATCATTGCTTGGAAGGCCTGGTGCATCCATTTTCACATTTTTGCAGGCCTCAGACTCTTGTAAGAAATCAGTGTTGTAGACATTTTCATCACTTGGAGGGAAAGCGGCGAAGTTCTCAGGGTCTGCGATGGTTTGGGATATGGATTCGCTTGAGTTCAAGGAATGGTTGAGACCAGGAGGACTGAGATCAGCATCATCATCATCCATCAACAGCCAACTTTCCACTTGTGAAGCTTCAGCTACTGCTCCACCACCACCACTCCCACCATCTATCCCTTCAATGATGAATGAATCCTCCTCAGCTTCATCGTTTGAGCTGTCATTGTGAGAAGCAGCAGCCGCTGCCATCTCCAACTCTGCACTGTTGACTCCTGGAACAACTAGCCTGGCTTCCAATAGAATCTCATCGAGTTCTTCATCGTGATGTTCTGTTATCCACTTTTCTGAAGTTAGGGGGTCTGGGTTGTCCAAGAACAAGCTTCTGATGTGCTGAATCAGCCTGTAGTCTTCCGAAACCTGGTTGAGGTTTGTAGTAAATTATCAGAATTGGAACAGGAATTGCTTGAAATGGGAAGTAGCTCACTGAAAAGGCTTACTTTCTCAGTTGAGCCAATCTCCAAGACACCTCTTAAGACGGGGAAGCACACAACAGTCTGTTAAGTTCAAATGGGCAATAATGTCGATTAAGATAGTGTCATCCAATGATTGAGGGGGTCAATAATGTCTATTAAGATAACATATTCTTACCTGAATGGATGCACTCTGAGAATGTTTTGTAGTAAGAAATTCACCAATTGCGTTGAAGAAAACAAGGAACAAAGCATAAATCTTAGGTCCTTTAGATTGCTTAAAGTACATCTAATCAACAAAATTATTGTAAGAAAAATGGGGATGAATCTCAACCTTTGCTAGGAGAGAGCGGGTGAAGACTTTGCTATCAGCACAATGAGCATTGCAGAGCCAAATCTGCTGGCTTTTAGCCAATGATCTCCCTGGCAAACTGTGGGGGGTAAAACAAGAAGAAACCCAACAAACCAGTTTGCAAGATCAAGTAGAAAGTTCCAAACTTTAGAGAAAAAATGCACTTCAGGAAAATATTGAGTCACATGATTACCCTTGGCCAATATTGAACAGGAAAGACATGCAGACCAGATAGTACCACTCAGTATCCGTCAAATCTTCCGGCGACAATGCAGCTGAGGGTCTCCTGGATTGCAGATTGGCCTCACCGTCCGATAGAAAATCGTAAAGCTCCCTGAGTTGCTCGCTTCTCTGTAATCCTAGCTCATCCGCTTCAATCTCCATTGTCTGAACGGTTTTCCTCGTCTTGATATCTCCATTGTAGTACCCATCTCCCCAATCTAACACCCTTCAGAATTCAACAGTAAGAAATCTCAAGTCTCAACCAGTGGTAGTGAAAACTTTTTAAGTTAAGTTTCGGTCAGGCATTTTAGCAAACAGGTAAGAGGTGAAAAAAGAAGAAGCAGATGAAGACAAATACCCAGGCTGTTCTGTTGACATGGACCAGAAAACTGCATAGCTCCACTGGATACTCCTCACAGCAAGTGCAAGCTGCTTGTTGACATTCTGCCGTCCCAACCCATCCTGGCTAAAAAGCCCAGAAGCCATGGCTCCACCAAACCTTCAAAACCCAGGCAACCAACTCAAGCTCGCCCTCAACAATGGAGTCTTTTTAGTTGCAGCCACTTTCCTACCCACGTATCTCCACTACGCTTATTAAATATTAATGGAAACATTGTTGAGTCTCTCCATCACTGAGGAAGAGCACCCATGTGGGTTTCCTGAAGCAGAAGAAGGAAAAACACCGCACCTTTCACACAACAGCTCGCTCTCGCAAGTTTAAGTGGATTGTGGAAACAGCAGTAATTGTGGACTGGATTTTGCTTTCCCTATTGTGCTCGTTGCCTCCTTCATTGGGGAGATTTAATCTTGACTTCTTTTCCCTCTCTTTTCTTACCACTGGTTTTGGTTCAGAACTTCACTTTGCCCAAAAAGCTGAAACGAATGGACCCGCGCTGCACCAGTTTTTGCCACCATGAAAAAACTAAGGCCCCCTGCTCCGTGACAGCCAGGTGGGGTTCCAGTTACTTTCATTACTTATCTGAGCTAAAGATTTTGAATCAATGGCCTATTTAACGAAGTGGGTTGTGAAATCGTACCATATGACCGGTATATTTGGAAAAATAACTTATTGGAGTTTAAATTGATAGGTGATTTTTGGTGATATGAAATAATTGAACCATGATTAAATCACGATTTCAGTACAAAATATCATATCACTAACATTTCCAATACAACTTACAGTAAAGTCTCATAATCAATTTTGACACTGTCCGTTGCTCTTCGATGGCTGCCACACATTTTCAGTTATTGGATCCAACTTCATAATAGTGTTTAGGTATTCTCAATCATTCAATCAAATGCATAAGCCATATTCACGAAAGTTGTTATATAGTCAATTCAACTATTGAAAGCATTTGAAGGGACAATCCAACATGTTTGTACACAATTTGCACTAAACATCCCAACATCAACATAATAGTTAAAACAGGTTATACTCAAACCATAAGTTACTGTTATGATGAACAAAATCACATACTAAATAAGTAAATATCATTGAAACTCAAGCACTCTACCATAGCGCGGGACTTTACTGTTGTGATATGGTTGGACGACAACATTGATAATCGGGTGAATCGTAACTTTGTTTTAGATAAAGTAACAAGAACTATTCTGATTACTGTCTTGTTAAGTTGCTTTGAATGCAATGGACTAAGTACGACCACTAGGTAGATAGATACTCGTGGCGCCATCAACGCAATGCTCTACGGCAAAAAGGAAGTACGTAGTGTTGCTGTCATTCATGGCTGCCAGGTCCCAAAAAAGGAAGGAGCTTAATCATTTTGTTCTCCATCACTGCCTTGAATACTACTGAGTACTGTCTTAGTCGTTTGCTGCCTCCATAGTACGGCTGCTCACCAATCCTCAATAACTCCCTTTGGCAAGTGAGAGCGGGAGGTTCATTTCTCCAAAACTGGTTTAAGTTTCACCATAGTGGTAAAGACCATTTACATAGATGGTCTTTACCTCTACCATGATGGTAAAAATGACGATGAACACTCATCGTTCAACAATGTTGACGTGGGCTTTGAGGCTACACATTGTATGGAGGAAATCCATACGAAATTTCATAAGGGGTCTTGTTGCTAAGAGGTTACACTTACACATATGTATGTGAACATCACTCCAAAAGTTCAAGGCAAGATCAGACGGAAAAATTGAAAGACCCAATCGCGTGCATTGAAGATATGGTTATGTTATTTTCCTATACGTCCATCTCGACATTGACTTTGTCCGCACATGACATCTAGTGCAACATTTCATTATTGTTAAAATTTGCTTCATCGACTCTGATGAATCTCACCCAATTCTATCATTACTTCCGGGAGCAATGTTGATTACCTATTATGTGTTATAGTTTTCTCCGTAAAATTTGATTAGCAGGACCAATGCTTCAATTGGATTGACGGAGAAAGGATACGAAGAGAGCCAACAATCGATCCGAAGAATGTCACCATTTTCAATCCACGAGCGTTGCTCCAGTGGTCTATATCCGAGACAAACGCCAGTTAAACGACTCACCTAGTGGCCGATATCTGAGACAAGCGCTAGTTTCCGCCTAAGGTCTATAAACACTAGGGTAATCATAGACCAGTGGAGGATCAGCTTAACTAATCACAATCCGACTAAACGGATCCAGCTCTAACACAAACCAGGAAAGGGAAAGAATGAGACATCGTGACATTTTGGTGGTTGGATGTTAAGAGCTTCTTCATTCACACAGGTCTCAGGATCTGATTCTACCATCCAACAAAACCTTAGCACAAAGACAAACCTCAGCATAGTTCAGAAAATGGGGGGAAAACAGAGATGGAAGGAGCTAAATTCTGGAACTTGTAATTCTTGCTGCTGCTGACCATTTGAGAAAAGAGATGAATAATGCCAACAGCAAACATGAACAGAAAGACTTGTGGTAGAGAGAGTTAGAGACAGCAGACAGAAGCTATTAAACTCATACAAACAAGAAGAAGAAAAAAAAACCCCACACTCCCCTTCCACACATTATGGACCACTCGAAAAGTTTATTGATTGTCTTTCCCTCTAAAACTTGTGTCTACTTTGGTTCATCTTCCACCATCAACTTCCTATGTTTCATTCTCTACTTGCTCAAAACAAGATAGTCACCAGCCTGTCACAATCTACTTGTTCGGATCAACAAACCAACATATGACAACAACAACGACAACCCACTTCCCCCTCCATTCAATCAACTCCCCAAATGTGGATCTAGTTTCCACCACATATAACTAACTACTAAACCATCCCTGCTTGTTTGGAAAAAAGTTCCCCCAGGTCAATATCTTCACGCAGAGATGATATATTGAATGAAGAACGATAGAGAAGAGACAAACTAAAGATGCATAAGTTCAACATTTTGTACCGAACCTTCTGTGAGAACCACGCTTCTAGGGATTCTCGATACTGATCTTCGGCACTCGTGATAATTAGGGATTTAGGGTTTGAGAGAAAGAATTAGGGATTTAGATGAGATAGAATAGAATTGGGAATCGGCCTAAGCCTTGGATTGGGAGAGAATAGAAATTAGGAGTTGAGAGGATAACTAGAGTTTAGGAGACTTTGCTTAATATTCTTCTTGATTGATTATGACGTAAACCCAAAGTACATATATATAGGAAATACTGGAAACCCTAACGAATAACCTAGTTGGACTAAATCTCTACTAACCATAATAATAATTATCCTACCTAATATAATAATAGAAACCATATATAAATATGTTTCTGACAATCCATCCCCCTTGAGAACAACCTTGACCTCAAGGTTGTAGTTGACTTCTACCTCTTTGACCTTCCGCTTTCTTCGTTTCCAATTGCGCTCAACCCCTTGAATAAACTCTTCTCGAACAAGTCCAACTATCATCGACTCTCTGCTACCTACGTGACACGTGTCACGTTCTTCATAGCTGAATAATTCTTCCTTCCCAAACTCCACAAAATATGAATTGGGAAATTGTTCTTCTTTCCGCTCTAGCTTGTGGTCTTCACGGAAATGATCCATAAATTCCATCAATGGCTTGACGGTGAAAGTAACACATAACATCTCCAATCCTCCTTTTCCTTCCCTTGTGACTCGGCCCATAATAGCTTGGAGAAATAAGTTGTGGTCCAAATCCAAATCAAGCCTTTCCTTACTCTTATCTTCTTTTGGGCTTGTCTCCTCCAAAATCTCACTTTTTAAGTCCACCAAACCTTCTTCTTTCTTTAAATGATTTCTCTGCAGAAAAAGCCCAATAAAATAGCCATCGTTGGGCTCGATTTCTTTAGGACTTGGCCCATCAACGAACATAAACCCTCCCTTATGATGCGGCCCAATTGTTTCAAAGGAGCCCACCACTTCCTTCTCCTTTGCCAACCCATGACCAAGACTGATGGGCCCTCCTCCTAGGCCCATGAAGCCATTTTTACCTCCCTTCTCTTTTAAGGCTACACCATAGAAGAGGCATTCAACCCTACAGCCCAATTGAGGCCCATAATAACCTCTTTGTTTTGTCCCATACGTCCAATTCTCCCCTGCTACTTCTTGTCCACCCTTCAGCCCATTTTTCTCAGCACATGGGCCCCTTGATCCTGGCCCATACCAACACAATAGGGCTCTTGTCAGACTTCTATCGGGCTGCCATAGAATTAGGTCATACGAAGCCCAAGTCTGCTCACCCCTCGGCCAACTCCACTGGTTTTCCCTGCCCAAACAGAGACCACTGCAATTAATCTCACGGGCTGACCCACACTCTCTCCGACGGCACGGCTGCCCGCACGACTCCGTCGCCGCCTTCAGCTCCGTCCCATCCGTCAACAGGCCACCCCTCTCCTTCTCCTCCGGCATCTCGCCCATCGTCGCCGTGGCAGGAGCTGTCGATGTCACCCGCGCGATTTGCGCCGACGGCGACGCGTCGGACTGCCGGCACGGTGGCCACTCTGCCTCCGCGATTGGCTTTGTCGGCTTTTCTTCGCTCATCGACGTCACTACCGTCAATCGCACGCCCTCCGCATTCTTCTTCTCCTTCATCGACGAGCAGAGGATTCCACCGACACCGCGCTTCTTCTTCTTCGTCCGTATCTCGGCGGTCGTTGCGGTTGGCGATTTCAGTGCTCCAATCGGGATGGCCGACGCATCAGTCATCGTCTCCTCTTTCTCGTCCGATCTCGCCCGGGACGGAATCTCGTTCGTCGTTGCTGTCGCCTTCACCATTACTTCCCTTCTCGGCAGTGAGCAGATTCTCCAGCGGCAAGTCCGCCTTGCTCCCCATGTCGCCTTTGTTCCCAACTCACCGAAGGTCGGCGCCGTCCTTGGAGTCATCGCCGGTCGGAACGTCACATGCGCGAAACGCGGCTCAGGCTCTTCAAGCCCATGGCGGATCATCCTCTCGGCTTCGTTGCTTAGCGAATTGGCCAACTTCTTCTTCCGAAATCGCCAGTTCGTTGCTCGACCCATCGTCAAAACCTTCTTCCCGAGCGCGAATCTCGCCGCCTTCGTCGTTACTTTTTCCGGCGGTGAGTGGAGAATTCCCCCGCCACCGCCACCGCGTTTCTTCTTCTTCCTCTTCCCTGCCGGCGGTGGCTCTTCCATCTTCAGCTCTTTCTCCACCAATTCCAGATCCGCATCTTCCCTTAGTCGCTCGGTGGTGATCATCTCGACAGTGGCTTCAACAGGTAGAGGAACAGCTTGCGATGATGGTGATGGTGGTGTCGCAAGAGGGGCAGCCGCCGTCTCCATCGTCACGAGCTTGTTCACATCTCGTTCGAGCTTGATTGGGAACGCAGGTTGTTCCAACCAATCGTCGAAATCCAATTCTGCATCTGCGGTCTTCAATAATGGCTGTGGGTCTTTCTTCAACGGTTTCTTGAACGCTGCGGCTGCGGCTTTGGGTGGAGCAGTTCGCGCAATATTCCCGGACAGTGACGAAGATGAGGTAACCTCGTTCCTAGTCACTTTTTCCAGGTTCAACTTCAGAAGCTTTGTAAGTTCTCTGGCGGAGAGCTCTTCGAGGTTGGTCAAAACCATGGTACGAGTGCCACAACCGGGCTCTGATACCACTGTGAGAACCACGCTTCTAGGGATTCTCGATACTGATCTTCGGCACTCGTGATAATTAGGGATTTAGGGTTTGAGAGAAAGAATTAGGGATTTAGATGAGATAGAATAGAATTGGGAATCGGCCTAAGCCTTGGATTGGGAGAGAATAGAAATTAGGAGTTGAGAGGATAACTAGAGTTTAGGAGACTTTGCTTAATATTCTTCTTGATTGATTATGACGTAAACCCAAAGTACATATATATAGGAAATACTGGAAACCCTAACGAATAACCTAGTTGGACTAAATCTCTACTAACCATAATAATAATTATCCTACCTAATATAATAATAGAAACCATATATAAATATGTTTCTGACACCTTCCAAGTTCTTTGTCGAAGCCAAAGGACACGCCTTGTAATGAGAGCCTGCAGAACTCGAGCCATAGGAAATTCAGAGGCTGTAAAATTGCAGGATTGTAGGAGATACTCTGGTTGCTCACGGGACCAGCTTCCTTCTCTGCACCAATGAGCCAAGGGGAAGGATGTACAATGTAGATGCAGATTCAATAGGGAAGGGACCACGACCATATAGTAATAGTACCGACAGACATCATGGGGTTTTTTTTATCTAGGACATCAGAAGTAATAATAATAGATATAAGCAAGATCAGATGAGTGGTGAAGCAGTTCATTTGAGTCAGGATTGAACCCAGCCGGTCATGAATCGGCATGCAAGCCCCAGACCAATCTGCCATGTGCTGTCTTATTGCTATTTCTAGACCCTTATCTCTTCTCTTCCGAGTAAGTTCCTTCCAGAGTTGGCATCTCCTGACACCGTAAGAACTTGTGAAAGCTAAAGCAAGGAAGTCTGTTTTTTTCATTTAGGTTCATCTAACCCAAACAGTCTAGTAATGTGAAAATTCAAACAATCAAATACCATAACTACATAATCAAGTACATTGCTTTCAGATAAGTCAACAGATAAATGATAACCTGGCTTTTAATAGTGATAACAGACCACAACCAATCGTTTCGTAGTTCATATTACCAAAGTTCAACCGCCGGATTGTATACTATAGGGTATATTTGAAAAGTTAACTACAAAATGAACTTCACTGCTTAGTTCTCCTGGTTTAATGAACTTCTAACATGGTCGTGGATGGACCGGTTAGCAGTTCCTAGATGGACTTCTTACCCAAGCTAACTAGGGATCAAACATGTTAGAAGACCAGTGGACCTAAACTATTAAACAAGAATCACACCGTTACACAAAGGCATCCTGAATATCCAGAGGAGTTGCATAGATAGTAGTTGCTATTTGCTATTCTATTGCTCAAAAGAGGGGTTCAGAAAACAAATTCCAACGACAGAGTGGCAGTTATTTCTCAATAATATAACTGCAACCATCTACGAATTTAATCACCTACAAGTTTTCCTCGTTGAAACCTTGACAACTGGACGGGGCTCCTTCAAACCCAGATGAAGCTGCTCTCTAGTTGCTGCCCGCGAGCAGACAGTTTACAATTATGGAAGCCGTATGAGCTTGTTCACCGCCGAGTCCAGAGCATCCACATTTCTTCTCAGAAATTTCCTTCACATGGACTTAAGGAAAAGCAAAGACAACTAAAGAAGGAATTAGTCAGCTTTATTCAGGTAATGTATGGTTTTAATGCTGCCCAAGCAGATCATTTATCGCAAAGCAAGATTGCCAACTCATATGCTCAACCATCATATTGTAAAAGGATGAACTGAAGAAGAGGCCTAGTCTTTCTGCCAAGGCAAATGGCCTGGAGGCATGTAAAGAAGAGCAAAAAGGATACAATTGAGCAGCCAATGTTTCAATGCCCTTTAGTTCCTCGTTTAACCTGCCAATGAACTCCAAAAGTGTCAGACTGAGATTGAAAAGCATCTTAAATGTTAACACAGTCACTGTCATATTGATATAACAAATTTTTTGAATGTTTCTATTTTCTAAAACAGCCTACTAACTGGAGTTCCCAAAGCAGTAATATGAAAAGCCTACTTCCTAGTAACAAACTCGTTCATGTCAAAACTCTAGATTCGATAACTGGGAATAGGCATTAGCACCATTTTGAAAGCCATGTATCAGCTGTCAAAAACTGGACTCGAAAGTCTAAAGTGCCAGCTAAAATGGCTGAAACTACAAGAGGAATCGATGGATTCTAAAAAGATCTTCATTCGTACCACTTTTTCATCTAAACGAACTCGAACCACATCAGAAATTTTATGAATAGGACAATGGCAGGCCTCAATTGTGTACACATATCCAACATTCATGGCAAACTACGACTTTGTATGTTCCACTCGAAACTACGAAATTTCTCAAATAGATTCCAATCAGCACAGTTCGAAAGTACCTGAGACTTGAATTAATGTAGCGGTTACCCTTTGTAGCTGCATCCAGAACTGCCCACAAAACAATCAATTGAACAAAAAAGTTCCTAGAACGCAACAATCAATTGAACAAGAAATCAGAAACCAGCTGCAGTTTACCGGACTCTTGAAGGCGGCCAGTGGCATCACCAAAGCAGTGCATATGATCGATGGAACTGCTCGTAGCCTTCACAAAGTAATCCAAAAGTTCATTTTCAGTTCCCGCTTTCCTTCCTTGGAACCAGACAGGGAAAAGCGAAACAAAAAAACGGAAACAAAATTAAAATCAATGAAAAGTGAGAGAAACCAGGCAACCTCAGAGAGCGCTGATCGCAGCGAGGAGAAAAGAGAGGTGAAGCTCTCCGCGATGGCCAGGGAATCCTTCTCCACGACTTCCACAGCCTTAACTATCTCCCTCCGATTCAGTTCCGGCCCGGCGCGCTCATCGGGCAATTCCGAACCAGTGGACGATCCTCCCAGCTCCGGGTGCCCCGTGACTGCTTCTCCGCCTTCACTGCTGCCGCTGTCGCCTTTGCCTCCCATCGCCCACGTTGATGCACCGAACTTTTTACGCGCCGAAGAATGGGTGACGATGCCCTTCAAAAGCTTTGTTTCAGTCGGGAAGGAGGTGTCCTCTGTTTATTTGATCTATTATGCCAGAATTTGAAGATTATTTTTTTATGGGTACTGTGATTATTAAATTTTGACATGTTTAATTATTAGAAAAATTTAATATCAATTTTAGTTACTCGAATTACTGAAATATGTCATATAATAAGCGATTATTCTTGTTGAGGGCACCTCTACTACTAGTGTGAAAGGCTTTGGAAAACTCTTTTGCTTATTTTCACCTTACCACATAAACGTGGATGATTAAAATATTATTAGAAGCTCTGGCTATTGGAAAAACTGCCTTAGGGCAACGCCCATTAGATAGCTTAGAAAATAGTTTGATTAGAGACCATCAATGACATGTATATAATATAAGCCTAACATTTTTTCATGACCCAAACTTTTTCCATCTTTAACATCATGACCAATTTTTTCAATAACATAATGATCTAAACTAACTCTATCTTTACTTAATTGGCCAAAAGAGTGGACCGTTATGTTGGACGGTCAAGACCGTGGACTAACGGTCAACCCACAGGCCACCATGTCACCACCCGGTCAACATATTGTAACTTAAATATTAATATTTTCCACAAAATACAAATTTTCCACATGAAATTATTATTTTTCAATTAAGAACAATAATGAAGAAATAATGAGTATATATAAAGTGATTGGTAGTTCCAGATAGAGCATACAGAGAGACCAATTACGTAGTTGATTATCTGACTTTTATAGTGCACTCATTTTCATTAGACAAACATGTTTTTGCTATTAGGTGTGCTTCGCTCAACTATAAATTGTATTTTGACTTAATTAGGTTGATTTAATTAGGGTAGAAGGTGGGAACTTTCTCCAAAATTAGCGGAGTGGGGCGAAATACTCATTTTGCTAATTCCAAATTTGAATCCCTCAGCTATTTATGTAGGAATATAATAAAAATACTGAAAAACAAAACACAAAACAAAACTGATAATAGTTAAAAAAAGCAAAACAAAACAACAAAATAAGATGAAGAAGAGAAAATGCCTCTCCCTCCCCCAACTAAGCGGAAGAAAGAAGAAGACGCCACCAAGCCGGGTAAAGAGGGGAAGAAGAAGGCACAAAAAAATAAAGTTTTGTTTTCTCCCCTTTTCAATTTCCTTTTATTTCCTTTTCTTTTCTCTCTCTGTAGCAACAGAGAGGGAAAAGAAAAGAAAATTGGGGGAAATAAAAGAGAAATTACAAAAGAGGAGAGGGAAGTGGAATAGATAGAGAAAAAGGGAAAAGTAAAAGGATATTCTTCGTTGTTTCGTTTTCATCATTGCAAGAACATACAATTGCAACAATGGAGGCTGGGTATGGTTGTTTTTCGGGACCTGCCTTCCCCATCCTCGTCTTCTATTGATCTTCATGTTCCAAGGTTTGTTCGCCATGTTTCTGTCCGCAATTGCATTTCCCTATTTCTCCCATTTAATTTAAGCTGCTAGTTGGAAGAGTTAGGGTTGGTGCGGATATGCGGGAGGAGGAGAGTTATGTTGGTGTCTTCCCTTTTGCTAATTGAGGGCAATGACAGAAATTTTGAAGAATTTATTTAGTTTTTATTTTATTTTGTTTACCGTGCTCTTTGTCCCCCCCCCCCCTCTTCTCTTCTTTTCTTGTTTGATAACCCTCGAAAGACAAACTTAATAGTTGTTGATTTTTTATTATTATGTTTCTGGGCATTATTAAGTAATTCTTCTTCTTCACGTGTCGAGCTGAACTTCCTTTGAAATGTTTACTTTTCATATATTCAGTAGTTGCATGATTTATTTCCAAGGAATTTTGGATTTTTTTTAATGGAGGGAATTGTCTATTTGAGTTCCGTTTTGGCGCGCTCATCGGGCATTCACTGCTATCGCTGTCACCTTTGCTACAGAGCCCACCTAGCCCAACATCAAACCCAGCAAGTTCTTTTTGTTGAATTCAGTTTGACGGGCCGACCACCAAGTAAACCTCTATAGTCGCGCTCCGTATTATAATATGTACACTTGGATTCTGCCACACTCTTCTAGTTCTTGGCCAATTTGTTTCATCTCCTTCAAATTAGGTTGTCGGTTTGCCGAATCAATGGTTTCTAGTAATCAGGGCTTGCTTTCATGTTTTCAAGATAGAAAGGAGCTAGTTTTTTTTTTTTTTTTGCGGAAGAATTTAACTTCTAATTGTCAGCTAATGGATTTATGGTTTCTATCTATTTGTAGCATTGTGTCACGGGGACTTATGAACACGAAAGAAAAGAAGTGTGGGGGAAGATGAACGTTCAACCTCAAAGGAAGAGAAACGAGATGGGAATATATGCCAGATTTGGAAGTATAGCACGTCCAAAAGAACCAAGGTTTGAAGATAATGGTTATGGTAAGAGCAGCGAACCACTAAACATCTCCTTTAATTTGGTGGTGGTTTAAATTTGCTCTCTTGTTTGGGGCAGAATTGAGTTTGGGAAAAATCTGGTTTGGCCTCAGGTAGTGTCAAGTCACTGGTTGAGTGGTTGAACAATTTGTTTCCATATTTGAATTTACCTTCGGAGACAACCGAGGAGGAGCTGAGAGACTGCTTGATTGATGGCACTATCTTCTGCAGCATCCTCAACAAATTGAGACCTGGTGTGATTGACATGGTAAAGATGTGTGTGCTTTTCCCCATTATAAATATGTCCAGCTTACTCTGTGGGTCTGAACAACTAGTATTTCTCTTTTCACTTTTGAAACTACGAAAGAGAACCGGTTTCAGGCCTAGTGCCGACTATCTCAAGAGGTTTCTGGATGCAATGGATGAAATGGGCCTTCTTAGGTTTGTACTTGAAGACATACAACAGGTATGGAGATTTACCATAATGGAGTTGAACAGAGCTGTTCGTGTTGGATTTCTGACTTCCTTTTATATGCTTTGGACGTTTCGCTTGATGAACTTGTTAGCATTCCGGAGCCACTTCAACCTTGATCATGTGGCATAAGGTGATAGTGAGTTTGGAGCTGTTCTTATCAGTAACTTAGTGCACTTTTTTTCTTGGTGGAAGATGCATTTACTTGCTAAACCAAGGCTTCTAGATATGTTGGTTTGGTAGTCGAGTAATGAATGTACCAACAACCAATTTCCTCCTTGAAGCAGAAACTAGAAGCACGAGAAGATGCACATAGAGACTTTTAACAATGGATTCTATGGAACTTTAGTTTACATTCTAAAGAACATAAATTATGATTTGGAATTGGTTTTGCTAATTCATGAGTGCTATTTCCAGGGTTACATGTTGCCTGTACTGCAGTGCCTTGGGACACTTAAGGAGCATTTAGAAAATGCAGATATTTATTCAAGAAAGAGATGGGAAGTACGTGAGGTGGAGCTTTCTAACAGAGTTGATCAGTCACAACATGGATCATCATTAAACTTGGATAATTTTGTTGTTAATGGTGAAGACAAGAAAAAGAATCCCAATAAAGATACATATCAACATGGTCTTATAACTTCTGTTTCATCAGGTACTTGAATCACTCTTTTTCTTATGATATATGATACTCATGATGAACTTGAATCCTGTAAGAGTTGCCATCATCGGCTGTTTGTTGACCATTTGCAATAATTTCATAGCCCGATCCACTTTGCTCCAAAATCACATGCATGTAGTAACTTCCTATTCACTCTGTAACTCTATGGTCTTGTATCAGGCAGGATTCGGGGTGTAATCTATCTTGGTGGTTGGGTGATCTTTTTAGTTCGTCCAATGAGTCTTTGACAAGCCTTTGACTCCCGTATTTTTTTCTTGAGACATTCTTTGTGGTTCGGGCATTGTTGTTACCATCGTTTTGTCTTTATCTATATGAAGATAATTTGTGTTTATGTTTGAAGATGGAGCTACTCATGTACAAAATCATCCTTGGTTTTTGTTTGTGGTGACTTCTCTTTCAGAGTCGTCTCCTTTTTTGCTACTTGATGCGGGAAACAAATTGTCTGAGATGTTGAAGCAAGGTTTCTGCGCTGAGTTTTTGGATGATAACATTAAAGATCTGATAAAGTCAATTAGTGTGGATGTAAGTTGCTTAACTCTTCCCTATTTGGCTTTTGTGTGTCCCAGTATAAGGCATCTCAATATTGAATTAGGCCTATTCTTTTGCATTTGTTCCAAGATTTATGTTGCTCTCATGTGGTGATGCAATTTTCTATGGCAGAATGCATCAACCCACGTGCTTTTCCGTTTTCTAAACCAGATACTTGATGAAAGCATTGACAAAAAGGATGAGCATGCTTATCATGTACGATTGTGAGATATTCACGGTTTTTCTTCTTATGTTCATAAATAATACCTACTTTTCTTCATATGTTCATCATTGGTATCTACTTCGTTGTCATATATTTCTTTCAGCAATTCTCCTTCTGTAGTTTTTTGTATTTATCCCAGTATCATTTGGATCCTCTTCAGACACATATGGCAAGGATGTTAAAGCAAGTGGTGCAAGTTATTGAACAAAGAGTGTATGCTCAAGTTGAGAACTTGAAAGATGTAATACCCTTGAAAATTCCGATTCTCTGTTCTTATCACCATTTGTGTTTGTGCATGCACCATGCTATGCCTTTTCTTTTGATACACTACTGCATATGCTTTTGTTAAAAGAAGCATTAGTGAGTATACTTCATTTGTGAATTTCCTTGGCATATCAATGTTGATTTTTTGTGTTTCTAGCAAAACAATCTTTGTAGTGTTTGCTCTGGAAAGTACCAATCTAGATTAAAGGTATTAGAGACCCTTGCTTCATGGAGCACAGAAGAAATTGAGGTGAGTTTGCTGCAAAGGATGTTTCTGTTTTGTTTATTTGTCCAAGGTTATGTTGCCTAATGTTTTTTGTTAATTGTTGTCTTGACACAGGCTTTGTTTTCACACTTGAAACAGATAAAGGTTTGACCTTACATCCCAATCCTTT